AGAAGAAGAAGAAGAAGATATATGGCATTTTGAGCACATCTAGATACAAGGTCAGCGATTACGACAACCTCTGGTTAAACATTTACAACAAATCCGTTTTATACAAATAGGTCTCTTTATCAGGGTGTTGATCATGATCTCACATACTGGAAATTCCATATTTGACATTTTGTATGAGGCACATTTAAAATAATGTATAGCAATTTTGGAACATCTGAATACAGAGATTAAGTCAATCTTATAAGTGTAAAATGTACATCAATTGAAGCTCGAATGAAAGGCCGCTTGTCTAGGGCTGCGTGTGCTGGATTTGCAGATGAAGTGGGTGGTCAAGACACATGATTAGAACAATTGTGTTTCAGCAATGCGAGGGGATGCAAAATGTTGCCTTACAAGAAAATGCAATTTCGGTATTTGAGATATTAAGAATAGTATAAAAGCAAAAGATGCTAACCAACATAAAGAGGCCTTGTACTTTCTGGATAATATTCGACATTCTATGAGGGCAGTGCCCATAGACGTTGAATTCATTCATGATTTTTTTCTTGGGATGGGACATGATCCGTTTTATATAATGAGGCAAATATAAAAGCAGAAATGAAAAAATTGTGCATATCATAAATTTATTAACTGAAATGAATGCATGCATGGCCGTTGTCAGTACTATTGAAGGTTCAATATTAAAATGGTCTAGCGGGATGAACTAAGGGACTACTGGACCGTAGCTAATGGAACCACAATCTGTTTGTGATCGCTAAGAAATTTGTTCGGTTCACAATTTATTTGCGGTAACTTGGAGTTTATTTTGAAATTTTTTCGAGAAAATTTTTGGACAAACGATTTGATTGTGGTAACTAAGAGTTTATCCACACGCAATCTGTTAGTTTTGGCTAAAAAATCCAACAAAGTACGCTGTTCATATCCTTCTCTACAACACACTGCCTTGTTGCACGCACGTAACTGTTCACAAACTCATAGAACACATGATGGGTACGATATAGCCTACAACCAGCACCATGTAAAGCAACAAGGATGAACTATATTGATGTGTAACCTGACTTGTAAAAACTGCAAGACGACGTTTATTGAAATATATATCGATGCAACACTACAATCAGTGACATGTCAGCAACCTTTTACTCTTTCTCGGGGAAATCGCTAATTTTATGATCAGCTGCAATGACTTCTAATTGCTTCACATACTCGGCGCCTTTGACTGTAACTCGTTTATACACTACCCAGCTAACGACAAATACAAGTGAGAAAACGCAGCTACAGATTCCGAACACGATAGGCGTAAATATATCGCGTAATTGAATAATAACCGGTTAGGTTAACCAGCAGCGGGTTAGAAATTAAGCATGCAGCGGCCGCACGGTGGAAGTAAACAAGTGCATAAGTAGTTATTATTATGATGAGTCGACTCGGGATCAGGTTAGCAATGAATTATTGCAGCGACTTGATGCGGCGACGGGGTAGAAATTAGTTCAACGTCATTTTCCGACAAAAAAGCTTCTTCGTTGATGCATGGAAGCTCAGTGGTGCATTCTGTTGCTACCTGAGCATCAATTTATAATAGGCAAAATCACATTCTTCCCCACACATGAATTTTCTCCTCGATTTTACACCTACGTTAAAAAACGGCGATGGCGGCCGCAAAAAAAATGCACAAAATCGCGGACTAGTAGAAAACTCCCTCCGGCTTTCGCCGCAAGCGTGCATGGTCGTTACCTGCGGATGCTCTTGCTGCACAAGCGTGGAGAGGGCGCCACGTAGCGTTGCCGGGCAGCCGCTCTCGCTGCGCGTCACCTCGATCGCCGGGCTGCCCCGCAGCAGCAGCAGTCGCAGGCCGTCTACGAACGACTCGCCGCCGCGTACCCTCACCGACGCCTCCCCGTTCCTGCACGAGATGCAAGATAGATTAGTGGTATGAGCACTACCATAGTACTACCGTGTCCTTAGTAATGATGGTAGCCACTGCAGCTGCAGTAATAGCATTAGTAGCGGCTATAGTGGCAGTCACAGCGGTAGCAACGGCGGTGGCGGCAACAGCAGCAACATTAACAGCCTCAGTAATAGCAGCAGTGATAGCCGTAGCAATGACAACAGCAGCAGCAGCAGCAGCAGCAGCAGCAGCAGCAGTAGTAGCAGTAGCAATGACAACAGCAACAGCAACAGCAGCAGCAGTAGTAGTAGCAGTAGCAGCGGCAGCAGTAGCAGTAGCAATGACAACAGCAACAGCAACAGCAGCAGCAGCAGTAGCGGCAGCAGTAGCGGCAGCAGTAGCAGTAGCAATGACAACAGCAACAGCAACAGCAGCAGCAGCAGTAGTAGCAGTAGCAATGACAACAGCAACAGCAACAGCAGCAGCAGCAGTAGTAGCAGTAGCAATGACAACAGCAATAGCAACAGCAGCAGCA